CATGACTGAAAACTGCAAATTAAAACTAGAACTAAAACAAAGCATGGAATATTTTCATTACAAATATAAGCATTATTGCTTTTCTTTTATATTCCTTTTTGTGCTTCATAATAATAATAATAATAATTCACATTATATAAAAATCTGATGCGTCCAATTTGAAATATCAAGGCCTTGACATCCTTAAGTGCGTCCATCTAAATTGTATTAAGAAATATATCCAATATACAATTTTGCTTTTCCTGAAATCGGTGGAATACTTGCTATCAAATTAAACAAAGACAGTATTTCACCCAGAATGTAAAATTTCTTTATTAAAATATTAGAGTGTACTTTCAGGGGAGTAGTATGGGCATGTATTATTCACATTTTTCAAGTAGAAAATCAGATAATTCTTACTCTTTATTATTTTTATGTAGGGTTAATTTTGCCAATGGCAAATATTTGTGGAGTAACTATGGAATTGTAACACTGCAGGTGGTTTTAACTTAAAACAAAAAAAGAGAAGAGGAGGCTTATGATGTTGTATTTACAGTTTTGTTTTCTTTTTTTGATAAGGAAAAGAATGAAAGGTATCTTCTTCTCTTCCCTAACATTTTGCTAATGTTGTCTGCCAGCCCGAGAATGAGTGGGTTCATCTATCAGGTAGAGTAATGCTTGTACATATGTGTATACATGTATTGGGGGGGTGGGGTGGGTTTTTTCTTTTTTTTTTTTTCTCTCCAAACGGTGATTCAGAGAAAAGGTGATTTCTACAAAGAACTGGTGATTTGATTTATATAATACCAGGCTATAATGTGAAACCTCAGTTCAATTTTTGCAGCTGATGCCCTGTGTGATTACGAACGAGTTATTTAACCTCTCTGCTTGTTAGTACTAGCTCATGAAAAGAAACATCAGTAGCTTTTTAGCTCTACATAGGAAAGTGATGTTGTTGTACAGGTTTGTTAGTGCTCTTCTGGCTGTTGCTTGAGTCTTACCAAAATTGCACAGTGCTCTTAAGGTTGCATTGATGTCAGTTAGGCTGTCCTACCATCTGGTCCTTTAGGTATGTCTATATTAGTGTGGTTTTTTTTGCAGTCAGTAGAGCATTTCTGAAATGAATCTTCTAGTTGTCCCTCTTTACTGTTTTTTGGGTCATGATGTGGAAGTAGTCTCAGAGCTTAAAACCGGATTCTCTTTGAATGAAGCTAAACTGGAAGATGTGTTCCAGAAACGCACCTCATCTGCTGCAAATTCCTGATTGGCACTCAGTCCATGGCACCAGTCTAGAGTTAGCCTAGCATTAAAGCACCTGAAGTTCACATACAACGTGGCTTTCAGGTCTCTAAGCACCGGGTGTTTCACTTTAGAAATCCACTACTCACTGCTGGTAGAGACGCTCTTTGAGCCCTCTAGCCACTTTCCTAGATGGACCCTTGCTGCCTGCATTCCCACTACAGAAAAAGAGCAACTGTGCTACAGCGCAGTAGGATTGGGTTGCGTCCCCTCTAACTTTAGGGTACCTTTTCAGAAGCACTCCGGGTTTATAGTTCCAAAGACCTCTAAGAGGTGAAGGTGAAGCAAACGCACAGTCCTCGAATTTTTGATGTCTTTATAAATGTTCTTGAGCAAGTGCTGCTCCATGGTTTTCAGTCATCACAGTAAAATGCCAGAAGCAAGGGAAAAACTGAAACAAAGTTCTTGAAGCAGCAAAAGATTTCACCAGCTATAAGTTCTTCTGTAAACCATGTTCTTGAACAGTTTGTTACTTTTTCCTGATTTTCCTCTGTTGAATGCAAAACTGTTGATTTCCTCATAAGCTTTCAAGTGATTTTCCCAACGCTGAGAAATTCTCAAATTCTAACGACTACGTTTTTCACAGCAAGGCAAAATTATTTCATCACATTATTTCATCTTGTTATATCTATGAGCCAGTGGCTCAGAGCTGTTTAGTTTGCATAGCAGGTGCTTTTTGGATTTGTTCCGAGTTCCTTGTCTCAGATATGGTATATGGACAGAAGATGATGCGACTCCCTCAGCCTTTCCCAGAGAAACCATGCCACTGAAGGCAGTATGTTTGCACACCTCTGTCCCTGGTTGGTGCATGTCTGCTTGCAGGGAGCAGAAGAGCGTTCCTAATCCCCGCAGTTTAGATGTAAACCAAATAAGCTTTGGTGAACGTTACACCCTGCATGTATTTCTGAATGTTCCAGTTGTTGGCAGGCTTTGGATATTCTAATATATAGTGCTTCTCTCTACCGCGTGAGCTAACAGGGAGTAACTTTTAGCAGCGGTAAAGTGAAGTCATTGTAGGGTGCACAAAACATGCTTTGCAAAAGGGCGTCACAGTTGTTTGTTGACAGAAAGGAAATGTAGATGGTTCACATGAGTTCAGTTCCACCTTCTGTATTTTTTCTGTTGACTTTATACCTTTTCTCTCCAAGTGCCTCAGTTGATCTTCATCTTTTTCTACTACTAGGCTTTTGCTTGGTGTATCCTCATATTCCTTTTTCACCTATCCAAGCTGTTTTGTACCTCTCTCAGTGAGGCTGTATGTTCTCTGTTACTCATGAACCAGCAACACTGAAAACCGGGAAAGAGAATTTTAGGCCACATTGTAGCACATGATGCGATCACGTTTCCTCCAATGTAGAAGCTGTTACAGGAAAGCTCTATCTTTTGGCATCTTGGACTCGAGCATGCTTTGTGCAGACGTGATACCAAGTGATTTTAGTTGCTAAGCTTGTAAGAAACCTTTGTCTATTGTTCAGTAATAAAAAAATACAGATTTTTTTTTCTCAGTTTGCACTTTTGTCAGTATGTGCCGAGCAGCGTTTTTGTACAGGAGAATAAAAGGTCCATCTGAAAGAACTTTAATAGAAGTTGCATTTTTGGTAAAGCCTTTCATCCTGACAGTATTCGATCTCTCTCTTCTTCCGTGTTTCTAAAGGGGTAATGTGTTATCCTAAAGTTACATTTTTTTACGTCTTGACTGGATTTACAATGAGAGAAGACTCTCTTCTGCAAAATTAATATATTCTTCTGAAACTTTACAAACTTCTTTGAAGGTGTAAACTGCTTTTATTTTCTTTCCTCGAATATTTCTGGGAGTGAATTTAGCAGTGGGGATATTAGAGACCTGAATCTTCAGTTTAAAAAAAAAAAAGAAAAGAAAAGAAAAAGTTGATGCATGTCTCTAGTGAAGTCTTCCTTTATGAATGTACCACAGGCCTTATTTTAAGAGCCAGTCGGGCAGTTTATAAATAAACGTGCTTGAAGATAAGTCACTATTGCCTCTAATGTGTAACATGGATGTCCCTGAAGGTCTCGACTCCAAGAACCTGAGGCTGTAGTGAATGACTGCTGATGTGTTTGTATGGATTTGTAGCCTGTTCAGATTTCAGGTTGACTCATTAAAGTCTCAGATGTCATCTGCAAAAATTGGGCATATTAAAACTTCCGTTACAAGCTGTCTGGGTGCGTTTTAAAATATTTTGTACCGATGAGTATGCTTGCATTTGGTGATACACTCTATGTGCCTGTCTTTTGTTCAGAGCTTTAAACGTTCGTACCCTGTACCTGGCAATGTTTTTGTATGTTCTGGATTTAACTTTAGTGTTACTGCTTTTTTAGGGAAAGCTGCCAATGACAGGAATGACTATCACAAAGCTAGAAGACAGTGAAAATCATAAAAATGCATTTGAAATATCAGGTAATGGCCATAAATATTTTTATTTACTGTTTACTCCAGAGTATACTCTTTCAAATATCAGACTATGCAAACTTTGTAAGGCAGATACGCAGAGCCTGGCTTGAAAGTTCTTTTTTTACAGCCTGTTTTAAGCAGTTAGCAGACTAATTCTTCTTTCCATGGGATTCATCCTCAAATTTCTGTATTTTAATGGATGGAGGAAGTAGCATTGAATAACGTCCTGCATAGTCAACCACTTTGGACTGTGCTACTTTCTGGAAGGAATGGAATTCCAGAGGCTCTGGAAGAGGTTTAATCAAGAGCTTTCTTGTAGAAATGGTCTGTCTACTCACTGAGACATCAGTGTCTCTGCTGATCATGATTGCAGCTGCACTTGCTTTGGGAATTTTCTGTCTGTTAGGTACTTTGTTTCAGCATATACTTTAATTCCATGGCGGGTTGAAAGGACTGTGGGCCCATTACTGATGTCAGAATCCTGGGAAGACACATTGTGGAGCAGGGTCCACGCTGTGGAGCTTTGTACCTTCTTTCCGTTCCTGGATCAGTTCTGTCTCCAGGCAGATTTGTTAGGGTAACTTTGACTCTCTGAAGTGGCAGGCAGTGTCACACTGTCTGTATTGTGATATGGAAGGAAACAGCTGTTGATGGTGCTTGTTCTTCTGCGATAATAGCTATGAAGCTGACCTCAGGTAACTCTTAACTGTACTGTAGCTCATCACATACCTTACCTACCGCAATTAAAGTGATCTTTGGTTAACCTCCTTGCTGCTTTCCCAAGTGCCTTTCACCTCAGTTTTAATATCAGATTCAGACTGTATGCCTTTTTCTGAGGGAACATCAGTGAAATGCGCTTTTCCTGTTTTGCAACTGACAGACTGAAGAAGAACGTGTTAGGCTGTGTGCTGACTTTTTGGAGGGCTTGGAGAAGCTATAAGGCTGCTAGATTGTCCTGCTGGAGCTTAGGACAAGTCTTTCTCCTACATCTGTTTCTTACCATAACAGTGGTTCTTCATTATTAAAGGGAGTGAAAAAAGGGTAGAATTCCTAGGCTTGGCCCAGGAGCAAACGCACGGAGGAAGTATCATGACATGGAAAAGTGAGATGCTGTAATACTGAGAATACAGGTTACAACCTTCGCGTAGGTGACGAGACCTACGCGAGAGAATTACATTAGAGGGATTTACATTAGGGGAATTACATTAGGGGTTTTAACATTTTAGGGAATGCATGTTTTTACAATCATGTGAGACTGACTGCATAATTTTTCTGTTCCTTCTGACATCTTATGTTTTCTCTCACCTAGGAAATATGATTGAAAGGATACTAGTGTCTTGTAACAACCAACAGGATTTGCATGAATGGGTGGACCACCTGCAGAAGCAAACCAAAGTCACAACTGTTGGGAATCCCACCATTAAACCTCACTCTGTGCCATCTCACACGGTAAGAAATACCTTATGGGGTGAAGTGAATGAGTGCTGTATACTGTGTTAAATTCTGGCAAACATGCTACTATATAAAGCATTTTCTTTAGCCAGGAGTGACAGGGATATGAGTCTCGTTATTACGCCATTTTGGGTCATAGGTTCATTCTGTTGTTAGTTGTTTGAACCAACAGTAAAATAATTACTTTTTAGTCTAATAGTTCAACCTTAGCAGGGTAAAAGAAAATTCTTTGTCATTACTTTTTACTGTTTTGACTAAGTAGTACATGTATCATTTTTAAGTGTCCTTTGAACAGTAAGTTTTAATTGGTGATGTACCTGACAGTCTGTGGAGAAACAATTTCAGCTACCTTCTTTTGGATTCTGAATTTGAGTTGTTCAATCTGAACGGGTCTAAATGGAGCTCCATCCTTAGTGGTGAAAGAAGTGGGCTGCTTGTAGGTGTTCTTCGTTTAGTATATGCTCTTTCTGTGGCAGACACTAAAAATTTCTTTAAGCTCCAGTTTTACAAATAATAATTCAGTGTTAAAGTTTGTGCAGGCCAGCTGTAATAAACATAAGTGCTAGACAGCTGGTGGATTTATTTCACTTGTCTTGGATGATATTTTATCTTCATTAAAGTGATATACTTTCTTTCCCTTCCTGTAACCGGTGTTTTTGACAGCTTCCCTCCCATCCGGTAACACCCTCCAGCAAGCATTCAGACAGCAAGCCAATACCACTGACTCCCGCTTACCACACTCTCCCACATCCATCCCATCACGGGACTCCGCATACCACGATAAATTGGGGACCTCTGGAGCCTCCTAAAACTCCCAAGCCTTGGAGTCTGAGCTGTTTACGGCCTGCCCCTCCATTACGGCCTTCAGCAGCTCTTTGTTATAAAGAGGTGAGATGCTGTAGCCAAGAAATATTACTGCGCAGCAGGCCTACTGTAAGAAGTTTAACTCTCTTCTTTTCACACCATCGTTTTACAGTTCTGTGCGTGTGTTTTATATAGAAAATGTTTCAACAGCGAATGCTGAAATGGACTAGTGATGCTGGTAATGGACTAGTTAATTATGTTTATTATTTCAGGCAGGGATTTAGTCTTGCAGTTCAGATGATAAGGCTTGATAGGAGAGGATTTTTCTCTCCCCCTTCCCTCCACTTTCTTTTTTTTCCTCCCTTATTTCCACTCTGATATCTTTTATTTTGGAATCTGTGTCATGCATTTTCATGATTCTAATTTGGTGTGAAGCACCAGGGCTCAAAGACAGGCATACAGTTATGCCTGTAAACATTTTATTCTGCGAGCATGAGAGGTTGATAGAACAATGTTATTTTACAGGCATGTACTTTGCAGTTTCTTAAAAATTGACTGCAGACTGGCTTTTTTCTTAAAATTAACCTTTTCTTTTTTAAAAAAAAAAAAGAGGGGGCATAGTGCAGCTTGGTTGTGCGTTTTTGTATTTGTTTGTGGTGGGTTTTTTTTTTTTTTTGGTAAATCCCCTGCAGCACAAGGAAAAAATGATAGATGGCCTTCAATTGGAAGGTTAATATTTGGGCTTATTTGCTCTAAGAGGTTCCCTTTTTCAGCTGTAGTATAAGTGCATCTCGTCATAAGTCAAACTCCTTTCATGCCTTTATGTATACGGCACTAAACTCAAATGTGGTAAAATTTCACTCATCTTTACATTGTTTAGCGTATGATGATGTTCAAAACCTATCTTCATCCTCTTTCGTCTGTGTCCTGCTCATTCACCTTTTCGCTTTCTTGTTCTGTACTTTTATAGAGGATGTCTTGTATCCTTAAGGTAAGGGGTAGACCAGTATATTCCTTTGTGTTCCTGTGAATTAGCATGACTAGTTTTTGAGCGGAAATGCCGTACTTGCTGATTTTTTTTGTTGTAGGTCTGTTCTTACGAAGCCCTAAATGCTTAAAAATTCTGCCTTTAAAGAAGACAGGTATACTATCTGTCAAGCTTCTTTGTTAGGTTCTTTTTTACCTGCTTCTGAATAGCAAGTCAAATGGGTTATCCCTTCAAAAGTTAAGAAAAATACTGTGTTAATGTATGCCTGCCTGTTTCCTTCGCTCTAGCTCCCAGACAGCCTGCATGCTTTTGCAGCAGCTTTTCTGTATGTTTCTGTTAATAGGATCAGGTAAATGCAGAACGTTGTATAGTTGGAGGAGGGATAGAAAGGAAATAAGTCAGTTCAGGCAAACCTGATGCACCAAAAATATTAGTAAATTGATTTTTGGTGCTGTTAAAATATATTCAGTTAGTAAATACTGTATACATCTTAAAATTTTGTGTAACTTTTGAAATATGGTAAAGAAGCTCTACTCTTCTATTTTTATTCTCCCCCCACAGGATCTCAGTAAAAGCCCTAAAACTATGAAAAAACTGCTTCCCAAACGCAAGCCAGAACGGAAGCCATCAGATGAAGAGTTTGCACTGAGAAAAAGTAAGAGAGACTGAGCAAACATCTGCATAGCACATAGGCTGGAATTAATGTTAGTTTAAATTATGTGCAAGTTAGATGTGCAGTCCAAGCAAGTCATCTGGTCTCCTCTTCCCTTGCAGTGGAGAGGGAGAGGTACCGTCAGAGGACAGTTTGTTTTTCTCATCTTAGACACTTAGCTGGACGGGATGAGTTGCTTTCTAGAGTTTTAACTGTTCACTACAGAATGCAGAAAATTGTCCAAGGCTTGGTGAGAGACATCCCACTTTCTAATATTAGCCCAAAAAGGGCAGAAATGGCTGAGGAATACATAAAGATTTATTTATTTCTGGTTAAAATTTATAATTTGCAATTTGTCAGCAGCACTCCCAGTCTGTTACCGTTTCTAATGAACAGAGTAGCAAGTATAGCCTCAATGATCTCAGTATGTTGGGAAACGCTTGTTCAGTTTATACCACTTCAGGTAATACTATTCGTCCTGCAAGGAAGTAACTATTTTTGATATTTTCAGTCTTGGTGGGAGTCGTATCCTCTGTTTGTAGATGTCTGTATGTGAGCTAGTTGTTTCAAGCACCCTTCCAGTCAGTGGAGAGAAACAGGTGCATTTAAGGCACAATTTATATCCAGGTTCTATATGCTTGTAAAGTGCCTGTTTCTGTCTGCTTACTACAGAGGCAAGTGAGATTGACTCTAGAGCCATTTAAAACTCACTAAGATAAACTATCTTTTAATACTGTAAACAGCAAGTTGGAGTTTAAAAATACTATCCCACTTGTATAGAATATTTAATAGCTATGTTCTTGAATTGAATCTGGTAGGAGCTTCCACTGAGCTGGGTACTGGAAAGCTGGGTATAGCTGCTGGTTCGAAGACTAGTTGCTTCCAAGGTCAGTCTTCTAAGATCCAACAACCTGCTCTACTTTCGTAGAAATAAGGTCATTTGCTGGCATCTATATCAGAAAAAGTTGCAGAGCTCTAGGCTGCCTGAAGTCTTAAAAGCATTGATCCAAGAGAGATTGATGAGAGTATAGAAAACATATATAATAAGGGTCAAAATCTGAATGTTGGACAATTTGAGGTGGAGAGTGTGTTAACCTTATCCAGCAAACACTATTTATTTCCTTGTCAGTTTTGCTCTGATTCTGCCTTGTAAATGTGTGTGAATGAATAATCCATATACTTGTGTCAGTAAAAGGTAGGGGGTTAAAAATAACTTATTTTGACTGTATTTGCATCTGAAGGCTGTAGTCTTTTACTGCAACTTTTGCCTCTACGTGTCTGTCCTTTTGCTCATGAGCTTCTTAAAATAGAGACTGTGCTTCTTAAGTGTTCAGAATGCATGAAGCATGTTATGTTGGCTCTAATCAATTTATGCAGGGTTGGGGAGAAAAAACTTTTTCTTGGGGTGCTGTTGATTAACCTGAGATGGAAGTCCTTCTGCTGTGCTGCGAATTTGATATGGCGAGGAGTTAAGGTAGTGAATCCTGTGTTCATGGATGTGCAGATGGAAGTTTTAGTTCAGGATGTAGGCAGGTGAGCTTACATTTTCTTGATGCTTGCTATATGATTGATGTTTAGAAAGGGTTCTCTCATGATCACAAAGGTTGAAAGACACACATAGTATGCATGCATAGTAGGAGAGACCTTGCTGTCAGACAGCCTTTTCAGAGCTTCCCTCTTTTTTCTTTTTTTGAAAAAAAAGTTGGCGTGAGGAAGAAGATCCCAGACTTAACTTTGAAACAGTAGCAGATAGGTTGTCTGTTGTCCTACACTGTATTAAGTCCATCTTAACCATCTCTTTAATACACAGTATATGGTATTTTGGGTCTCTGCCTCACTGGGTTCTGTGTGCAGTGTCTCTGTAGCCTTAGGTAGTAATTATGTGCAGTAGCTGTTTGCTTGCTGAAATTAAACTAAAAGTATATTTGGAATCCAGAAACTAAAGTTCTGTTACTGCTACTTGAAAATGTCAGTGGGAGCTTCGATAGTAACAAGAGCTCCAATATTCAGCATCACATAGTCACTAATTATCTATACGTGGGTTTGGACAGTACCTATAAATGAGTTAAGAGTGCTCATTTACAGGGTGAATTTCAGAGTGGTTTTTTTTTTTTTTTATTAGTGACAAAATTTTACAAAAAATTTAAGAAGCCTCTAGCAGGCAGTGAATGTTATCTGGCTAGAAATTTTTTTGCTTAAGAGTGATTCTTTTCATATTTTGAGAATGCATTTTTTTTAAAAAAAAAAAGTTGATTCTCTTCCACATCTTCAGAAGATTCACTGCAGACCGATCAAACAAGAAGTATCCTTATTTAAATTTAACCAACCTCTGAAAAATCTTTATAGCCAAGGGAGGTAATGGCTCCCCATAACATGAAGGAAGATGTTTTTTTCTAGTCCTATCTCACTCCTGACTGTAGAAGATAGTGTTTGGAGAAGTGGTGTTTTAATCAGTCTCCTGCATAATAGGTAAATACAATAGCAACTTTGCCTTTAAAATGACAGTATTGTTCTCTTATGGGAAAAATGGCTGTGTCATTTTTACCTAAGCAGGTTTTAGATCCGTACTGATTTTTTTGTTTGTTTGTTTCCTTTTGGAAAATTGTGTATAACGTCATAGGCCACTTTTCTTGATACGTTTTTGAATTTGCAATTTAGACTTCTGAAATACTTAATTTTTAAGAAATGGAGAACCCACATACCACTATGTAGTTAATAAGCAGCCCGGTGTTAAAATATTTTTAATAACTGTTTCTCTCTAACTACTTAGGTACACAAGTGATGGAACAATTTAAAATACGTTCACAAAATTTTTTTTCACGTGTGATACATCAGCTATAGGCGGACTTATAGAAGAATGGACTTTGTATCTTAATGCACATTTTTATTTCTACTTTTACACAATTCAAGAAATTGGCTTGTAAATAACAACTTGATCATCTGAATGTGAGAAACAGAAGAGCCAAAAAAAGGAAAAAAAACCTTACAACTTTCAACATAGCTGCTTATCTGAGTGGCCAGTTTAGTTTTGTGTGACTAAAATCCTTACAATGTAGCATTACTATTTCATTTTTCTCCCTAATAATAATAGATGTAATGTTGGAAAATGCTATTGAATTTGTTTTGTCCTTAATAACGGGGATCTCTTTAGGACTAATGAAAGTATTGCAATACAATATTAGGTCAAATATTGGAAGATGGAGATTCAGTAGTTGCAACATGTAGCTGACAGCTTTACTTGGCTTCTGCACTTGTAGACGTGGAATGATTTAAGCGTAGTTGTTAAGAGAGGAGATGTGAGTTCTTTTTTTGGCAGAAGGCAAATGCATTGGCAAATACGTTTTTTCCTCTCCTGTTTAAATTAACACTTTTCAATATTTTATATGTATGAAATGACTTTCCATGAAAGGGATTTTTGTGACTTTGAGGTAAAGAATTTTATTTATCCAAAATACGTAACTTATTCTTGACATACGCCTTTTTTCCACTGTGTCAGTAATTAGAAGCCTTTGTTCTGTGCTAGTGTGTTTTCAGTCTTTTCCATTTTGGACCCATAAAAGTTTTCCACTAGGGAACTACTATGAGACTTCAAGCTCATTGCTAATAATTTTGTTTTTATTATTACTTATCATCTCTGGATCCCCAGGGATTCACAGAATCACAGAATGGTTGAGGTTGGAAGGGACCTCTGGAGATCATCCCATGCAACCCCCCTGCTCAAGCAGGGTGACCTAGAGCACATTGCCCAGGACCATGTCCAGACAGGTTTTGAATATCTCCAGGGAAGGAGATTCCACAACCTCTCTGGGCAACCTGTGCCAGTGGTCAGTCACCCTCACAGTCAAGAAGTTTCTCCTCAGGTTTAGATGGAGCTGCCTGTGTTTCCGTTTGTGCCTGTTGCCTCTTGTCCGGTTGCTGGGCACCACGGAGAAGAGTCTGTCCCCATCCTCTGGACACCCTCCGTTCAGACAGCTATACACATTGATCAGCTCCCCCCGAGCCTTCTCTTCTCCAGGCTGAACAGGCCCAGCTCTCTCAGCCTTTCCTCATAGGAGAGATGCTCCAGGCTGTTCATGAGGGATTCTGCTAATTAATATTACAACAGACAAACCCAAATAAGCGTGATATTTCAGCTGAGTGCCTTCACAAAGTTGATTTCATAAATGAAATATTTGTCTTGCTACTGTAGTCCTATCACAACAAAAAGCAACCATACCAAAATCTGGTTATTTTTCCGACCTTGAAAGAGAAATAACCTGTACTTCAAAGTATCTGAGTCTGTTAAATTGGGGGGAAAAACTATATCTGATGAAGAGAATTTCTTCAACAGTCACTCTGTCAGTCACTCCTGACGTGTTTTTGGAGAGTTGGCTTTGCTGTGTTGGTAATAAAACATTGAAAGTAAAACTGGATGCCTTGGCTGCTAGAGAACGTTGCTGTTGGCACTGGAGTCACTTTAGATTCAGGCAGCAGAAAATCTGCAAGACTAGTGTTTTCCTGAAGCTTTGGAGTGAGGAAAATGAAATAATGCTTTTGAAACAAAAAATCATCTTGTCTCATATAGAATCCTGGTTTCATCTAAATTAATGGTAAGAGATATCCATCCTCCAGACTTCAGTTTGACTGGAATTTCAGTCTTTGCTGCAAATGAAAAATTTGACAGCATTCTTACTGAAGTTCTCTAAGGAATAGAATCACAGTGAACTCTTTCACTCTTTAGAAAAACTATGCCATTTGAAGCTTGAATAGTTAGTTTTTTTCTGTAGTGAAGTTTCCACTTTAAAACTTGAGGAATTTAATCTCCTCCAGTTTTCACAAAAATGCTTGCTTGGTAGTGGTGTCTTTCCTACTGTGTAGTGTACTGGAATTGTACAAATGTACATGTTGTAATGTTAAGTCTGAGTTTAATTTTCAGTAGAACGCCATTGAAAGTTGTAAATCTGATATATTTGCAAAACCACAAAGTTTTCAAGTTTTATTTTCTATGAGTTAATATCCTATTCCTTATTCTTTGTTGAAACTGTGAAATGAGGTGTGCATAATAAGTGGGGTATATAGCTTTTAAGTGTAATGGCTGTTTTGTTTAGTATAACAGTGACCACACTTCAAAGCATGTTCTGTGCAAGTTGAATGCTCATAAAATTTCTTGAATGTGTGGGTAATTGCTCTAAATCGTTTCTTTTTTTTCCTTTTTTAAATTTTGTAATAGTATTTTGTCTTTTGAAACATAATATTAGCCTTTTACTCATTGAACGTTGGTTTAAAAGGAGAAGACTGAGAGAATTTTTAAGGGTTGTTAGGCGAACTTTGATCTTAACTGGAAGTTGTAGCATTTAGCTTTACACAAAAGTGATTTACAAAGGTTTGTCCTTATTAAGAAATGTAGCTATGCTTAAAACTTTATTTTTCCCATTGATTCTAGGTACAGCTGCTTTAGAAGAAGATGCGCAAATTCTTAAAGTCATTGAAGCATATTGCACAAGTGCCAAAACACGTCAAACACTAAATTCAAGTAAGTTAGAAAATGCTGAGATAGCTAACTGAAACACAAATTAAATTCTTTGCCAAAAAGAGAAGATTAGTGTCTGTGGTCCCTGGCCTTTGCAACAGCAGGCTGGACCTAGAAGAAGTAATAATCTGTTTTTGGCTTGATATCAGTGTGCGGTGTTTAAGTATTGGAAGCCAAGTTCCACTGTTAGAGACTATAATTCGATCAGTGTTTAAAAAAAGCAAACAAAAATTCCATACCTGCATGACTAGTTATGGTTTAAAATTGCACAAAACCTTCATCAAAGAATGAGAGGTGTCTGGAATATGACAATTGTTTAGTGTGTTTTTTGATAAACTTTGAGAAGCTGGTAAGTAGTGAGAAGAAATGAAGAGTAATAATAATAATAATTTTGGAGGAGTATATATTTGTCTTGTTTGAATCTGTTCAGCAGTTTTCTGTTATGGAAAAGTAAGCTAGACCCATAAGTACTTATTTTCTTTTATTGTCACTAGTTGTTTTTAGGATTAATGGCAAATTTTATATCATAATACGATTTCAGGAGAAACTTTTCTCTTAGGTTTCTGGGTTGATTAAAGCCATTTTTAGTTTCTCCGTTCAATGTCTAACTTATTGAAAACCTGTACTATGCCTCTGGGGTCCTACTTCATTTAATCTGAAGCAAGTTTGCTGTGTGAAATTCCTCTGTATTGTAAGTAAAACGTCACACAAAGCAGGGGAGTCCACCGGCTTGTGTTCCATCTACACAAGGGAGGAGAAAACACTGTAGGGCTTGTTCAGATTTGCACAGTTTTGACATTATTGAATATGGATGTAATTCAGATATCCTTGGAACACAATTTAATGATCCTGAAGTACTTGGCTGGTTTTGCCATTAGCAGGAATTAGAAGATTTGACATTATAACTTATTCCTTGTCCATAAAAGCTGTTTAAATTTGCTGTATTGATCACTGTTATTGCTAGCCACAGATTCCTGTGCTTGTTTTGCTTCCAAGCAAAAGCACTTTATGCTGGCAGTGGGGAAATCTCAAAATATGGCTGCAGACTTAGTCCCTGGATTTTCCTAACACGTGTTCACTTACTGTTATCGCCTTGAAAACCGAGCTACTTTGTATCCATATATACTTTAAAATGGAAACACAGCCCCTTGTATGAAGGAGTGTATTGCATGGCTGTGATGTTTTTACGTTTAGATTTTGGAAATACTTGAAGTGACAGCGAAAACCTTCATTTTAATTTTTCTTCTTGACCTGTCTTGGCAAACTGTAGGTCTCCAGGGTGATAAAACTCAGTTTCATAAATTGGCTACTATTAGGTCATTTTTGATTAATCTTAATTTGTTTTTTAGCCCTACAATCATTACTGTAATATATTTAATTTGATAAAATGAGTATGTTCAAAATTCTGAAGATACACTGTTGCTCCAAACAAAAATCAGTGAGATAATTGCCGTTTAAATGTTGCAACTGTGCTTTGTTCATTATTTCCAAGGATAACGTGACAAGAAGTGGTTGGGGAAACATTTGCACTTGCACAACTTATGTGTGTGCAGACTCATAATGGATTTTTTTTTGCTTTTTTGCCTATTTTTCCTTTCTATGTATATTTAAGAAATATACATAGTGCAATAGACGTCATTGCATACATCAGAAGTCAACAGCTTTTATTTGCACTTAACTGCAGCAAGAAAGAATGATTTTATTGGTTAAGCGCACGGCTGCTTCCTTTGGAAAGAATAATATTGTCATCTAAGCCTAAGTTTCAGAAGATCTATTTGTGGGCTGCAATCAGAAGTGGAAAGAATAACTCAGCTTTGTGCTGGGGTTGCTTCTGTCGGAGCAGTAGTTGGTACCAAAGAATAGAACAAAAAAATTCCCAGACATCCATGGAAAAATGTCACTTTTTTTTTGCATACCTGTGTGTTGATGTTCTGCCTGTCCCTCACAGCACTGATGTGGCAATTCTGCTAGCTGCACCTTAAGCCAAAGCCCAAGACGTGTTGCTTCTGGAAATGTCAGTTCAGAGCAGCAGCTGGGGTGCACCAGTGCAGACTGGAAGGCAGTGGCATTGGAGGGAGTAGGGTGACTTTTTTAATTGTTTGGGTGGGGAAGAGGTTGTATTTAATTTGGGGAGACAGATGTGACTGAAAGAGAGGAGAGCTTCCCCTTCTGCTGGTTCTTATAAGCTCAGTATATTTGAATGCATTTCCTCTCCAAATGAAGGCTTAAAATCTTTTGCAGAATAGTGTGTCTGGTAGCTCACAACATGGCAGCTTGCACAGTTCTCAGATATTGCCAGGCCTTTGGGGAGGGCAGTAAAAGAGAAAAAGTGTCCTATGATACTTTTGTCCACTACCCTGGACATGTTAATTGAGGAAACAGAGTCCTGTGGGAAGAGGTGAGTGGGGGCGTAGAAAGGAGCCTGATTAGGTTGGCCATAGTCTCTTGGCCCTGGTTTCTATGAGTTCAGTTACTACTTGGTTAAACAAATAGCTATGGGCACAGGTACAGAAAAGCTGTAGTTTGACAGCTGCTTTGAGTGGGTGTTAGGTGGTGTTGCTGATTTAAAAAATGAGCAGCCCTGCTGCTCTGCATGAGAATGCCTCTAAACCTTTGTTTTTTCCCCTGTATCTTTCCCTCTATAATGTTGGCACAAACACTTATGGGGCTGTATTGTGAGCTGGTGGGGAAATTACCTGCCTGAAAAATGATCTTTTGCAGGGTTAATCTTCATTTGAAACTGTTGCCTGATCTGATTCACCAAGCAGCTGTAGAAATGGCTGTTTCATTGGAAGGGAGGGAAAGGATGGAGGTATGCAGAAACAATCTGTGAGATTTGGGGAAGAGAAAGGCCTGTTGCTTTTCATGTCAGTGCCTGGTTGTACTGGCTTAATGTATTTATTGCTATGTCTCAATTCAGATCCCCCCAGACCAGAGTTGACTCCATATTTGAAGAGAACCAAACTCTCCCTTCTGAAAAATCTATCCTCAAACAAGATTTTAGCTATTCAGAATTCCCAACTGAGGCTGCTTAGAAGTTTAAAAGCAACTTCAAAAGTTTTGTTGTAACAATTCAAAAGTTATTACATGATGAGTGTAATTTATTCCTAAAACCCAACCAAAAAAAAAAAAAAGCTTTGGTGCCTTTTTAACAATATTTTCTCTTTTCCTTCTCTTCCCATCACCTTTTGCTTTTGTTTCATGTGTTTGGTTGTGGCTATTCCTTACGTTCTCCTCCTCATCCCACCTCTGCCTATCCACATCCACCATTTCATTTCACCTATACATCCTTAGCATGGCAAGGCACTGACCTGATGCATAATCACGTCTTGGCTGATGATGACCAATCAAGTCTAGACTCCTTGGGTCGTCGCAGTAGTCTTTCTCGTTTGGAGCCTTCAGACCTCTCAGAAGACTCTGACTATGACAGTATATGGACAGCCCATAGTTACAGAATGGGGTCTACATCTCGTAAGAGCTGTTGCTCATATATCTCTCACCAGAACTAATGCACTTCTGAGCTTTTTCTTAACAAATGCTTGTTGTATCACAGCCTGCTTTTCTTAGATGTTTTCTTGCTGTTCCTTGTCTCTTTAATGTGATATTTAACAACTTCTGAGGGAGCTTCTGATACTTCAGGTTTACCTGGTGGAAGGCTCTATTGCCGATTTAATACTCGTACAAATAAGTCATTCTAAAGAGTGTATGTCCTGTTAAGGATGATATTTCTTGAGGGCTTTTTAAGTGACAGATATTAATATGTAGCTCTGAATGGTCTGTTTTTTTGACTTGGTCAGTGTAGCAACAGGTCCTTTCTTCTTTTCTTTTATTTCTTTTGGATACAGCGCGATTTTGTATTTTGTATTGAAACCATACTGGTCTGTGAGCCAAGTGCCAGCAATATGGAAATACTTTAGCCTTAGTGGTTGAATTTTCTATATATTATTAACAAATTACAAAGCTGGTAGAGTAAGCGAAATATAGTTTGAAAATAAGCACTACAAGAACTGTAAAATCATTCCGATATTCAGATATCTTATTTGGAAGAGCATTTGCTAATCCATGAAAATTTATGGTTTTATACTGCTGTCTTTTCCTCATTGCTTAGATGTTTATATGAAGGATCACACTGCTTCCCCCCACCCCCAGTGTGGCAGTTATCATGAAAGCCTGGCAGTCCATGCTCATTACATGCAGTGTTTTGATAATCTCATATTACCTATGGTCATACCGTCACTTTACTGTATGCAATAGTGTGGTAGAACACAGGTTTAGATGTTTACTTGCCTGTTAAAATACACAACTGTCAACTATCAATTGACCATTCTTCTTGAAAAGACAAGATGAAAATGGTTCCCATGATGAAAGCTCGAGTGTTCAGCATCTGAAGCTGTAGGTACAAGTGTAATCGAATTGGCTTGTGTGAAGTTCCTAAAAATAGAATGCTTGGCTTTTGGTTTTTACTGTTTGGAGCATGTCTGTGACAGATTTTATTGCGTCTTGTAACTTCTCTCATGAGCAGGTTTGTTTTCAGCAACAGCTCTTCGCTCACAGTAATGTTGGTTTTACAGAGAACTGTGACACCTTAGACATGGCTGAAGGTCTTGAACCTGCACCTGGGGCATTGCCGGGGTGAAGTGTGTGGTCTGTCTTGTGGATCACATAATTGGAATTGAAACAGAAATGAAATGTTTTCTTAATCTTCATTAGCATTAGGGAAAAGCATTCGCTAAAAGCGCAGTAACGGCTCTCGTTTTCACCAGGATCCCTGGATGCAATTCTGTTACCCTCTTTCAGATATCAATGTTATTCAGTGTTCAAGTATTACTACATGAACAAGTTCAGAATAGTCATGGTGCAATTAACTGCTGCCTGGCAACTTGATCACACTTTTTAAAAGTTTACAGGTAATTAATACCTTTCTGCAGGTTATATGAGCAGAAAGTTAGTAATTGCTAGACATGAATGATCTCAGAAGGTTATCAGCATGGAGGAAGCTATGTCAAAGTAGTTCATGTCTGTAGATTTACATTCAGTCTTGCATTGTTTGATCACCCGTTTAATCCTCTCACTGTTGTCTGTATTTGAAACTTTGACTAACAAGAGCAGCAACGATTGCTGAAGAGAATTTTCAGGAGTGTATGAAAAAAACCAAACTAGTGTGCATATATTAACGTAATGACCAGGAACTTACGTATGTTGAACTTTATTTGAATTGGAGGAGTATTGGTTAGAGAGATGAAATAAGTATATGTGCTCTGTACCATTCCACAGTGCATCTGTAAGCCACTTCACTTTTCCTTTGAGTCAAGAGTATTTGTTTTTAATTATATGAAAAGTATGGATTACTTTTTCCTGTTTCTTAAGCTGTTGGTGTTCTGGTTAAAAATATTGTGTTCTGCACTGGATAAATGATAATTCTTTTATGTCTGTTTCATGTTATATAGTGCAAATATGAGTTTGAAATACAGTTGCTGCACTTGAACTTTCCTTATCACATAGAATGTTTTCTTATCCAGATCTGAAGATTTTATTGACTTTTCTATGCACCAAAGCTTTGACAGTTTACCGCCATTAATTCTTGTAGCATTTGAGTCACTAATTATTATCGTAGCTATGATCTTTCATATTAACATCACCGCACACTTAAAATCATTTGTTGTCTTCAGTGTTACAGGCCGTTAGCTATTGCGAACTGATCAGGAGCATTAATGCAACATGCTAAAAAAAAAAAATGCAAATGTGGAGATGGTGGTATTCAGTCCAAAGGTTCCGTGTTTCTATTCTTGTGGAACTTTAGTCACGGTAACAATAGTACCTTATGTTTATGCAATTCTGTAAATTACACGTGTACAGTTAATAATATACAGGAAGGAAGAAGAATATGAGTTAGAAGGTAAGTTCAAGCCATTGTCAACCCCTCTTCACATGGCTTACCCAGTGTTTCCATAGAATTAGTATTTACCATAAATTGAAACCAACCTATATTAATTGGGTGTTTTGCATAATCTTGCCAAAACACAGTAATGTGTATATAGTGACGTTACACATGGAAGAAAATTATATATATAGTGAACTTCATTTGTGAATGGGAGAAGCCATCTTCAGTAGGTGACTGCCTTTTGAAAATACAAAATGGATGTATATCTGAATGTTGCATTGTACTGTACAGTATGCATATTGTTTGTGGTTGCATATATCAATTCAGTGTTTTGTTTTATACAAAAAGGACATCTGTTATGTACAGTGGAAATAAATTTTGCATTTGCTAGACTGTGACTTTAATATTTGATTATTATGTAAGGGGCAAGGATGGCATAACTTGCAACTTAACATTTAACTATTCGGAAGCAAAAGAGCTTTTTTTTTTTTTTCCTTTTTTTTCCTGCAAGTGTGTAAGCTATGTTTAATGTAATTGGCAACTGCAAGAAATTCATTGTAACATGAACTGTGTATCCTTCTGTATCCCTCTTTTTTTTTAATAACTATCCATTTGTTTTTTCACTGTTTGTACTGGTATGTTCTCCGTAAAAGCACAGGCTGAGTAACTGGAACAATTGAAACTGATTTGTGTAGGTCCTGCTACCAGAGATAAATATAAATATGATAATGGTTTCTACACCTTTACATATTTTCAAGATTTAATATTATAACTTTTGTTTTAAAGGCCAAAATGTTATCTTAAAGGTTTCTACCAAAAGTTGCTTACATTTGAGTGAATTTAAATAAAATAATGGACTATTATGCATACTAAAATATTTGCATCAGAAGTAATGATGTAATCTCCTAGTAGTATTAAAATAACTTAAAGACTTTTTGCTATGACTGTAGCAACTCTAGTTTTAGCCCTACAGCTCTCTGGCTGGATATTTTTGTACTGGTTGATTAAGTATAGGAAATTTTGTGGGGTAACTCTTTCAAAATTGTTGTCTTAGGAATCTCCCACTTTTTCAGGTGATTTACATGTCGTTGGAAGCATTTATCCTGTTCTTAAATGATGAACGCTTGCATATTGAGTTATATATTAACTTTAGTCCATTTCAGTAATTACAACATTTTGTTGTAAACTGTACAAATCTGTCATCTGAGTCATGTGGAGTTCTTTCCTACTTATATATCGCTGCTAGTGAAAACAAAACAAAAAAAAATCCAAACCACACACACCTTCATACCAAAACCTATTGGCTACTCCCAAGAGTTTGCGAAGGGTGTGTTTTATAGCGAGGACCTAAGTTTTGGCCATACATTTGGATTCTGATCAGTTGTTACCTGCACAAGATGCCGAAGAGCTCCCTCTTGACTTTGGCAGACCTGTAGCGTGAGTGATTTTTTTAGTGCTTTAATCTGAACAAACAGAGCATGGAAGCACCACTTTTAGGATTTTTCTTTTTAGGAATTCACTAAAGATTCATTGAGAAAGAATGGCAGGTCTACTCATCCACTTTAACATCTTGAATGACTAATGCAATGAAAAGCTGAATGTTTTAAATGATGAGTGATTCTCCTTTTTTTTGTTCAATATTTGCTTCCACAGGAAAATGCCACCAGTGGCTAATCATTTAGCGTGCATTTATTTGTCTTTCAGTAGCAAGTCAGACTTCTGTCTTTGAAAATCAAGCAAATAAGTTTGAAGAGTTTCCTAGCTTATAAGGGGATCCTAGTAAAGTTGGTAGAAAATAGAATTGTATATTTACAAATACTCTTTCTAATTTTTGACCTTTATTGTGCCTTATTCTCTTCCTTGTCTCTCCTAATACAAAAAAATACGAAAAATATGACTTCAGTAGAGTCATTACTGATGGTGTCAAATTATGCCATGAGATTTTGGAAGTAAACCACGATTGGGGGAGGGGGGGAGGTAGTTACATGGGCAACATGAGGGGTCTAACTTCTGTTGTGTAAGTTAGGAACCTCATAGTCACAGGAGGAAGGCTATCACTGTGAAAGTACCTAGGTTGAGTCTCCATCTGGAAGAACTCCATCCTTGATTGACTGCAAGGAGAAGCCCTGATGTTAGCTAATCAAAGCAGGTGGTGTGAATCCTCACTTTACTGTTGGCTTAAAAGTTTCCTAAACAAACAAGGTCTCTGAGCATAGGCAGAGAGTTAATACCTGGTTAAAGTGAAAAGTTATCTAAAAAATCATCTGCTTTTCTTGCTTTCTTGCTAATAAGATCCGAGCAAAACTGGTGGACTGTCTTCATGCATGCCTCCTAAAAGATTCAAAATGAAGGACCGAACTGATTACCAGCACTGCTCCTTTTGAAGCCTGACTTCTGTAAGGATCCAGTGTGATGCTATATGAACCATTTTTTTAAAGATATTTCATCCTCCCCTTGGAGGAAAATAAATAAAAAGCTGAGGTCGTGCAGTTATGCTTGCAACCGGACATCGCTGAGAACCTCTGTGGAATTCAGTCTGCACTCTCGTTTCTTTTCGTTTGGCGTTAAGACTGTACGCCAGGGCTATGAGTGGTGTTCTACCCATTTCAGGCGGAGATAGAGTGAACTTTTTCTGACGTGAAGTCTCTCGGCCATATAAATATCCTTCAATTTTCCTTTTTTTCCAGATATGCCCAGAATGGCTTGCCAGTGTTGCTGATTAGGCTAGGGAGGAGGTCAGACGCTGGTAACTAAAAGCAATGGGCTGTATGTCATGCATCTTATTACCTTACATAGTGGCTATTGCTAAGGTTTCTGGCCCAGATCTCTAGGTCAGAATGCCAATGCTATACTGTTAGAATGGTATTGGCAAAAAGCAGTGTAAATTTTTGTCCTCCAGTCTAAGGATGGAAAATAATAATACTGGATAGACCGCTTTATTTTGTTGATAGTATTTAATTGTTGGAAATTTGGTTGAATCTTGATTCTAGTGGTCAGTTGTTCATTTTGCCCGTATCTTAATCGTGCAGAAGACTGATAAAGAGTGGTGTATCTCATTCTTCTGAGACACCTGAGTTACGAGGTTTCCCATTGAAAAGTTGGGGCAGCTTCCTCGGCCTTAATGTTTGTTCACTAGTCTGAAATACTTTTCTGAGTTTGCCAAACACCCTTTCTTTTTCCCTTCCGCCCTCCTTTCCCCAGGGCCCCCGTTCTCCCCTAAAAGAAGACAAAACCAAACTCGGTGAAGTTTGAGGTGATTTTTTTTTCTTCCTTCCTTACTTTAAACTAGAACTTCTGCTGGTATTGTCTCAAAGTGGTGTAGGGCTAGAGTTGTTAAAGGTCAATTTAAACATTGTCTTTTTGCATGTCTGAGTCAGAATGAGACTGAGTAGTGTCTCTAAGAAATTCAGCACAAAACTTGCAAATTTAAGATTGAGGAATGGTGGAAACGGCAACCTGAAGTAACTTTTGATTCTTTACACTGCTTTGTGGAACTTGAGTGTGTTTTGGACAGGTGCTTAGGGTAAGCTAAGTTGCAGCAACATCATGGACTCTTTTTAATGCAACTGTGCGTGTAATATCCATGCCTATCTTCATGTCCTAAAGCTGCAGCTTGTAAAAGTTTTCTGGAGAGAAATGGTTACATAAAAAAAAACAGCCATAGAGGACCTGGTGGAGGCACAAGGTACATCTTGGAGAATATTACCTAGTGCCAATATTGAGGTGGCGCTTTGTCTGAAGTTAATTTTAGATGCACATTTACAGGTAAATGCATCTAAAAGTATATAAAGCTTTAAGTATAAATGGTATGGAAAAGCAGGACAATGAAGTAGCTTAGTTATGCTGTTAGAATTTGGCACATAAAGTCTGTTGTTATTGTGTAAATACTCATTTGATGACAATTTTATTGCAGGACAGATGTGTGTTTGTACCTAGATACTTAGAATGAAAAAGGAAAAGTGCATTTTCTTTTTTTTCAGTTTAAAGATGAACAATAAAGGCAGTGAGGGTTCTGTGATAAGAGTGAAAAAGTTACAACATGATTGAAGGTATCAGAGCAATTAAAGTGAGGTTAAAACTTGTGATGTCCTGAATTCCACAGTAGTTGTTATATTGTGGCACAAGAAGATCAATGTTTACAGCAACAGTTTACGTCGCATACGTGTGTACGTGTGTAGTATGCTGTCCTTCTGTGTATGTTGGTGGAAATTTTTGTTTTTATGAAACCGTACGTTCTTTGCTTCAGTAGTATTAAGTGGGTTCTGTGCTGTGCAGTCCACACAAACATATGCTGATATGTGTACGTCTTTTACATGCATGTGTGTCTGTAACTGTAGTTATGTGTGTTTTTTTTTTTTTTTAAGCTATCTCCTCCATGCTATTTCTAACTTTCAAAGGACCCATGTTACTCTGACCAGGCAAAGACGATTGAATGGAGCTCTATATAGACATAACCATCATGTGCTGTTCCCTTTGGTTGAAGGGAGTCATGGGGGAGAAGCACAAGGCAATTCTCCCTCTTAGCTCAATTTCTCTCTCAGCATGTGATACGCTGAGGTGCTCAGAATTGATACTGAGACCCAAAATTTAATGATGCAGTAGCAGCAGGTGTCAGCTAACTTTCTAAAATAACATTGAGTTCAATGTTCTGTGTTGTCTTGAGCTAATAAAACAGAGCAGTAACCAATTAACTGAAATAAAGATGAGACAAATTTTTGTGCCTTTTCTCAAAGCATACGCTGTTTCTGGTTTTCTTTTGCCTTTTCTGTTCTCTTCCTTGCCGTGTTTCTGTCTTTTTTTTTTTTTTTTTTTTTTTTTTTTTTTCTTAACCCACTAAAGATTTGTCCCCCGAGCTCAAGGACTTACAGCTTTCAAGGACGAGATTCTGTTCTCAAATATGCAGTAGTTGTTACTCCAGAAAATCTGACTGTCATATACTGTTAATTCTTTACTGTTGGCTTAAAGAAACTCTTTCCTCCGTTAAAGGATATTTGACTTTGTTTACTAAAATAATATAACTAGCTTAACACCTACTGCTGAGTTATGTTCTTCTTTTATGCCTACAAGCTCATGTTCAGAACTCAACAGTGCAGTTGTTAGGGGAGGTAATATTTTTCTTTGAGCTTGATTTCTTTGATTTTGCGTGTGTTTGGATTATGTATTTTATTATGAACCCTAAAGGAAAGGCCCTTTTTTTTCACAAAGCAGCTGTTTGGCAAGAGCTAACTAATTTCTCCTAACAGGCATGCGCCCTGTAGTACACAATTATCAGTTCAAACTGTGCTTAAAATTAAGATATTCCTGGTTAGTCAAAATCCATTACAATGAATTGGTAAGCAAGTGCATATTGTTTCTTAAAGCTGACATCTGAGTTAAGGCGTTAAATTTTTTGCATATTTATCTACTCTGTTTGAATTCTGAACAAATTTTTAGGCAGCTATTTACATACAGATATATTTACAAAATTTATTTATTTTATTATTGAAAAAATGTTAGTAATTTGTTGCAGCCTAATTAAATAACATTTCTAGAATATATGCATTATTGGATGGACACATCTCTGAGCAGTAGATTTTTCTTTTTAGAGCTACTTTCTGAAATTATATGAATTATCTTGATGTTAAAAATTGTAATTATTGTGAAAAAATGTTCTGAAGAAGTTACAGAATGTTTTGAGTTTTGTCATTAAACATTTTAAGTGCTTTTAAAAATATGTATTAAATATGAACTATGTATTTCATTTGGTAGCAATGTATTATGAGACTAAAGGACTGTTTATGTGTATGTGTATATATGTCTATGCACATATATGCACAATTGTGTTTTTTGTGGTTTTCTTTCTGGGAAAAGGAATTTTAAATTTCTCTTTCCATCCTTGTATCATTTGATGTCACTCTTCTGCTCCTTTCTGATACGATAATTGGTTTAGAGTGGAATTATTTCTTGGATGTGTATCAGTGTGAGACCAGAATCTGTCCTTGAGGCTTAAATTGTTATTACTTAAACTCATCGTTCGTTCTCTGACACAGCTATGATGAATTTGTATGGATTTTACTGATAGTCACTGTTCCTTGAACTGTGTGTAACATCCCTACGATAGCAGAGGAGGTCTGTCGTCAGGAGGATAGGAATGGGTCAGTCAATTTTTTGTTGTAGTGTAAGGCTGTTGATTCCAATTTAAAGATATGTCAGTAACTGTATGTGTGGAGGGGAGGGTGAAATTGAAAGTGATCTACATCGGTCATGCGGGTGTATCATACAATGAATGAAATAATAATCTTTAAAATGCCCCAACATTGTTTACAAGTTGCTCATTTTGTAATTTATTTTTACAACAGGTTCCCGTAAAGAATCAGCTCCTCAAGTCCTGCTTCCAGAAGAAGAGAAAATTATTGTAGAAGAAACTAAAAGTAATGGTCAGACTGTTATAGAAGAGAAGTAAGAAACCTTTCAATGAATGATGGATTAAAACAGTAAACTTGGCACTCTTCCTCCTACTCCCACCTCCCACCTCGTGTTGAAGTAATAGTGCTAGAGGGGTGGTGGTAGGGGTGGAGAGGTATATTACTAGTGGGGGAAACAGCTGTTTGGAGTATGCTGCCAGGCCTTGCGGGTGCAGTGAGCCTTCCTTTAAATGCCTGCCGTCTGGCTTCTCTGTCTATGCTGTTCTTTCTTCTATACCAAGAATTGATGTGTTACACTTGTAAGTGGCTTTTCTGAGGTATTAAATAGGTATCATAAATAGGTAGCAGTCTGTTTTTTTGGTAAGGTGTATGTTGAAAATGAAATCTAATTGTGTTACAGAAGCATAATACACAGAATGGACTTATACTAGTTTCTGTATTATGTTTCTGTAACAGAATTAGATTTCAAGGCCATTTTTGTTTGAGAGGTCTGTCCTGTCATAGAAGCTGGTGAGGGTTCCGTGCCTAACTGAGTGTAAATCAGGATAAGAGATGATTTTTAACACAAGTCAGTGAAATTAGCTTTTAGCTATTTTTTATTTTTAATGCATTTCATATACCAGTTTAATAATAGATTTAGACATGTTTTCTGGAAACTATTATAACAGATGTTCTTTTTATTTTAGAAGCCTTGTTGACACGGTATATGCATTAAAGGATGAAGTACAAGAATTAAGACAGGTTGGTAACTTGCTGTATGTATACCAATATAGAGAATGGAAAGTTGGAAATCTCATTATAAAAATATATGTAGCTTTTAAGTTGATACAGTTTGACAGGGATGACTTTAAATCTTGGACTAAAGTCAAGACCCTGAGATTTGCTTTGCAAAGTAAAACTCGCCAGTTTGGGCAGAGAGCACTCTTCGGTGATTGTCATCTGTCCTCTGAGTGCCAACCTGTTTAAAAAAAAAAAAAAAGAAAGTGTGTTAGTATCCTGTCTCTGAGGTGATTTCCTAAGCTTTGTTTGATTTATTTTTGAATGTTACAACTTGTGAAGTGTTCAAAGCATTAAATAAATTCAGTTCTGCTGTGTCGGCAGCAAAATAAGCGTATAGAGACTGTGGAATAGTATTTACTCTTTGAATGTTTAATTTTAGTAGCATAAATGTATGTCTCTGTTTAAGCCTTTATTTATTTATTTATTTATTTACAATCTTTCAGTAATCTAAGCACCTCTTATGACTCAATTCTTAAAACCTCTCATTTCAGGAGACAAGAGAGTCCTATTCAGTACTTATCATGTGGCCTTTTGAAAATGAGGGCTACAGGTTAGCTTAGGTGGCTGATCTGTCAGTTGAGGGAATTGCACAAGATGTCACCTGCGTAGCTGGTATGGAAGATGCAGCTGATGTTTTAAGCATGTTTTAGTTATCCATTTTTTAGTTGTTTAAAAATATCCCTTCTTGTCAGTGCACAGCCGGTTGAATGCTTGTTTATGCTGCTGCACATGCTAATTGCTTACTGTATAGGCAAAAAGGCCTTGAACTGTCTTCACTCTCCAATGTGAAGATGTGCTAAGTGATCTTAACTGATATATTACTCAAGAAGTCTGATAAAATCTCCTATGTTAATATAAAATGGATTTATACTCAAGTTAATTCACTTTTGGGGCTGTAAACATGAATCCAGATTCTTTGCTCCTCTTTAATTCAAAGTGTGCCCAATATTTTCAAAGATGCAGTGCATGATTCTTGAGATAGGGCAGTTGACATACTGAAAATTTAATTTTTAGTTGGTTCTGCCTATAAAGCATGTGTGTCCCAGGTTTGGTGGGAACTGGACAGTCTTTTTAAAAATCTAGTTTGCTTAATATGGGCCACACTGATAACCTGTTAGCCTTTCGGTGGCCTGGCTGCTTCACTATAAAGGATAAAAGTGCTCCTGCAGATCTGTGTGCGACCCTGAACAAAATGTCACCTTTTCCTGAACTTCAAGTAACAGCTTTCTTCCCTTGTTCCTCTCCAAAAAGACAATCTCTTCAGAATCTCGTAGCTTCCAAAACCAAGAGCTATTAAATCCTGACTTCGTTTTCTTGTATATTTGGGATCTTAGCTTAGAAGCATTTGCTGGTCCTTTGCTGTGATGTTGCCACTTCTCCAAATGGCAGAGAGAATCTCCAAGATGTGAATGTCTGAAGTGACCTGAGGCTTCATAGATAAAAGCCATCTGGGAGTACATGGTGGTTGGTGTCAGTCCTAGACCACTGGCTGGTGACAGTTACACGAGAACTGGGTCCCTTAGCAGCTTCCATCAGTTATGTATAACTACTCTTCCACAGGGATTACGTTGTAATAGTACAATCCTAAAGGGTGGAAGAGGGGAGAACAGAAGGAAAGTTAAAGAAAAGGTGTACCTACAAGAAAAAATTGAAATGTCTCAGTTTCTCAACGGACTTGGGGAGATAAGGGAGGTAAGGAGGAGGGAGCTGTTGATCCCTTCCTGTTTCTAGAAATTTCTGAGAGCGCTGATGGGAGTCCAGTGCAGCCCCTGGGTTGCAGATCTGTGTATTAAACACCAGGAGACCCTTGGTCTTGAGGTCTTAATATTTGTTGTCTTGCCTTCTGGTCACTTCCCCTACTGGTATTTCAGTGCGTGGTGCAAAATACTGAGACCTGACTCATTCATTAATACATGTGCACGGTAGTGGTGTTTCTTTAAATTCAGACTCTTCTTGGATTGTCAATAGTTGCCTGTCTGGCTTAAGACTTAGTCACAAAACACTTTTCAGAGAACATAATGGTTTTGAAGGTGCTCCTTTCAACTATTTGCTTTCCTAATTAAGCAAGTTAATTTGCATTAAGCTTTAAGAAGCTTTTCTGAGATTGTGAAACTAGTTATAATCACAGGAGGCTCTTACAGGGATATTTATTCTACTATTATTGTTCCTTTTCCCTTCTCATTAACACCAAATATATTCTACTGTTCCTTGATCAGCTTTGAGCGAAGGAATTCAAAATTATTGGCCATCTGTTGTTAGCACTTGCGTTATATTTATACCCCCAAATATGAATAGGAAATACCTCAATTTCGGTTTGGAAACGTGTAACTTGTGAAATTTTAATTGAAGGCAGAATAGCTGCTTTGCTTTTGAACAGCTAATAACAATCCTACTGAGAAGAGCCTTTGGAATTTATGGTTGATGGTGTACATTTCGTTGGAAGAGATGTGTTTGTTGGGAAAAAAACCCACTAATATTTCTATCTCTATTAAACAGGATAATAAAAAGATGAAGAAATCATTGGAAGAAGAACAGAGAGCTCGCAAGGACTTGGAGAAGCTTGTTAGAAAAGTTCTAAAGAACATGAATGACCCATCTTGGGATGAAACCAACTTATAACTAATTTTTTTTTTCTTTTTTCTTTTTCTTTCTATTGAAAGACCAGTTGTAAAACTGAGCTGGGAAGCCTTCTGACATTAGTCAGTGTTGCATCAAGAGCACTACAAAACAGGATTTAACTGGATCTAGGGATTTTTTTTCTTGCTCTGAACGTATAGAAACAGCCAAGCCATTCACTGAAGCAATCTATACTTTAAGTTTGGAGACCATGGATCCTGAACTCTACTAAACTTAATTTGTTTGCATCTAAATTACCTCATTTTGCAGAAAGTGCAGCACCTGACTAAAAGTCCATGTTTTTCAGTGGCTTTTTAATTAAATATATATTTTTCTTGTAAATATCTGTAATTTTGAATGCATATGTGATTGATGTATCAGGGCTGATATGTTATTTTCTTCTCCTGTTGTTATAATGGTCACAAGTGTTAGAAATGATGGCAGTACTGTCTCACTTACGGAAGGTCAGAGTTCTTTGTGGATAATTATGTTTTTGTTCCAAATTACCTGTTGATCACACAAGCAAATTTAAGAAGCTGTTTTTCCTTTTGACCACTATATTTAAATCCTTTTATTTATGCTTGTGCATACATTTTTAAAGAGTTTACAATTCTTTAAAAACAGTATTAAATCAAAATACAGAAAATTGTTTTTTGACAATAGAAATAATTTTTAACGAAACAAATGCCTGTGATTCACATCTGTTTCCACTTATTTGGCAGACTAATTTGCTGTGCTTTGGCCACCAAAAGACTGATGTACTTGCCTGCTTTTTATGACTGTGATTTTTAGGTGTTTATGTACTGCATTTTCTATTGTTGGGCTTAAATATACAGCCGGCTGATAATTTAACGGATCATACAGTTTGTTAAAGCAAAAAAAAAAAAATCAATCTAATCCATTTTTTGTTAATAAATTGTTGCTATTTATTTTTTTTATGGTCACAACAATTAAATTCTAGCTAACCCTTGTGCGTAAGACACATGGGCTAGGCCAAACTGCATTCAGAGCTCTGTTCTTATACCACTATATGATACTCTTTTTGTTTAGAATTACCAGACTCTGGAAGCATAGTCAGTCATTCCTTTCCCATCCTGTTTCCTCACTATATCACTGGTTTCCATTCTACTAGAATTTAAACAGAAACAAATCTGGGCATAAAGTTTTGTTCATCATATTGAAATTCATAATTTGCACCTCTGACAGGTTTGACAATACATACAGTGAATATCGTTGAAAACCTTTATTGCTTAATCTGGTAGGCACAGTTACTGCAATCCTCTTCTGTATTTAAAATAGGAGACGCTACGTGCAAATGGTGAGCTTCAGTTGGAGCACTTAACGTACTAAATCCCTTAAAGCTCGTTGTAAAAGTTTCATTGATTTCAGTAAACTTTGGATCAAGTTCCAAAGGTCCAATTTTCTGGGGTGTTTTTCTGCAGTTAATAGCCCAAAGTGCAAACATAGCACAGACCAAGTCGCACCTTTGGTAGTCCTGATTTTCTAGTGCCCTTTGACTGGTAAATTTAATGTTTAAACTTGAGCAAATGATCATAAACTTTACGGAGTTGGAGCCTGGATGGTGAAGAGGATAACAATTTTCATGTGCAGTTTATATCTGATGAAAAATGTATTTTTAAAGCTGTTCTTGGCTGAGAAAAGTGCATAGTAATTCCTGATACAAAAATCTTTTTTCTATTGTTTGCAGTTGCACAAAAATGTGAACAGACATATGTAATTATCCTCATATTTAGAAAACACAGTTGTTAAAAGCTAAGTGATACTAAACACTGCAAATGCATTGCATATTGGCTAAATTTAGATTTGGGAGTGCTAGTATAATTAGAATTTTGCAAACATGTTTTTACTTTCTATATTTCAGTGTGAATTTTAATTTTCCATTGAGCATATGTGAAAGGACATTCCAGAGGAAGAAGTACAAAAAAAAAAAAAAGGAAAACATTAAGCTTAGCAGTATTTAGCAAATTTTAACTCAGGAACAACTTCCATCATTACATGATTTTATTTTACATTATGTTGTGAAGAGTAGCATTGCTGTGTAAATTTGCTGACACTTAAGTATCTGTGGTTATTTTTACTTCTGACAGTACCCTTATACTGATGTCTAATGAACATGCCTTAAACATTGGGATTAAACAGTTGTTAAATATGACCAGGATTTAGGGACTGATTTTGGTCAAAGTGGATTGGGATGATGAAGCTTTTTTTTTTTTTTTTTTTTAACAAAATAAAAAAAAAAGTTAATACTTTGTGTAGCTTTTGTCCTTAGCTCTAGTGCAGAGAGCGAGATTCAGGCTTTTGGGAACCAAGGAATATCTGAACTTTTTTTCTTTTACAATTTGTTATACTGTATATAGATTGTAAATTTCACCGCGTGACCTTCTGAATTGTTGGGAACTTTATATAAGCATGGATAAATGGGGCACTGTTTATTTAACCTATTAAAGGGTTATTTCTTTGCTCTCATCGTTTAGGGATGAGGAGGTGAAGCCATTTCTTATCCTGTAGATGTGAAGCACTTTCAGTTCTAAACTGTCCAAAATGTAGCATAACATTTCTCTGTACTTATTGATGTATGCTTGTTTGTCTCACCATGTCATGACATCTTAAAGATTAAACAACTGACTGCCTTTGTATAAACCTTCTTAATGCCAATCATTTAGGGAATATAGGGTGTCTGTTTACAGTAACTGTGGAGAACTCAAGTTTAGTTTAGATGTCACAATATCCTGATATCGACTACTAAAGTGTTTATGCTGCATTGTTGTAATTAAACCATGATTTTTTTCCCCCTACCCAGTGAAGTGTTACATTTAATCTAATGTGTGGATTATGATCCTAAGAGAGAAAATGTGTTGATTTTTCTGCCTTTCATACAAATAACCTCTACCATTTAATAGTAGATACACTATTTTGGAAGGGCCTTCTCGTGGTCTTTTACAATAACAAATTGACACGTAGAAAACAAAACAAAAAATCGGTTACTTTTGAGGGGCAGGAAGTAGGTTCTTAACTATCTTGCACTTAGGACTTTTTACTGCAAATTCTTTGGCAACCGGACCTGCTGGGACAATGCAAGAGTTGGAGGAGATCAAAGATGGAAGCTCATGAAAGGGAGGGAAAAAAAACTCTAGAAAATCCATTCACTGCATAAATGAAGTAAAATATTTGTCTATGTGCGTGATCTGCCTGAATAAGCCACTGATTTGTGGTAAGAGTGCATCCTAGGGACATTACTGCACCATGGCTACTTAATCAGGGATGCTTTTAGTCGTAGGAACCACAATGTAGCTTTATGCGGGATGGTAGGACGGGTAACAGAGAAGCGTAGGGAGTCATTTGTTGGAAAAGATGGCTTCAGCCTTTGGACAAGGCATTTGAACAGGTTAATAACTGAGCCTTAGACATGTAAAATAATACATCCATTCCAGTTCAGTTTATCAGTGTCCTATAATTAAAAAGAACAAAGGACTTTAAGTGTAGCTGCTTGTAACTTTTGTCAGAAATCTTTTATTTTCTAACTTTCACTTCATCATTGCAAAGACAGCTTTTTTCCACAATCTGAAGCCCTCATTTACTTTTGATCTTAAGAAGTATTTTAGAGTTCCCTTTCCTGCCCTTCCCCGCCCCCACCTCCACCAAGTGAGTGGGTTGCTTGAGTTCGTGAAAGCTATTCCCCCTCCCCTCCTCCCCTCCCCCCCCCCGGGATGTATATATAACGTTACGTCTACCAGCATTGCCGTGATAGCACTATTTGCCTGAGGTAAGCTGCTCTGCCTGCAGGGTTAGGATGTAGGGTAGGAATGGAAAGGGTTAGGAAGGCGGATGTTTACTGAGGAAGACATGAGAGAGATGGAGCTGTTCTGATGGGAACAAAAAAATGTTTTTTCCCCTCGTTGTATCTTTTAAGATGATTGGTTTCTGATTTCTTGCTCTCCATAAGTGACCATTGTTTTTTTTTTTTTTTTGTTTACTGTCTGAATTTCTCTCCAAACTATAGTTTGTGGTCAGTAGGTAAAAGTTCATGTTTAATTTATTCTTGCTTCTGAAAAGCCTTTTTACCATTTCATTAATGCTTCAGCAAATAGTTTCTGTTTTAAAATTGTTGCCAGATTTTTGCCATGTGCCTACCCAAAAGCACAGGGAATGTTTTGCAAGGGTGTAATGTGTTTTGACAGTTGGAAGATAATATGTTGTCTGTCAGTGGAAGGTCTACCGTATTTCTGGGGGAGGTGGAGGAAAAGCAGAGGGAGGATTGGTAGATCAGAGATGTGGAAGGTGTGTAGGGAGAGCTACAGAAGTGCTTTGAAACTTGAAATGAAAAGCAAATGAATTGGCCATGCTGACCACCCTTGATTCAGTTAGGAATGGAGTTAAGGAAGTTAATGATGCTGCAGGCTGGGCTGGTAGAAGCAGCAGATTAGAGATGTAGTTTGCATCCTGCTACCAGCACAGCAGAGAGCTGTTTCTGCTCAGGCTGTGATGGTTTTCTGAGAAAAGAGCAGTCACAACAGCATCTTGAGATGCTTTTCACTATAAGTGACTGCAGTCACTAGCGTTTTCCGTATAAGGTTCTGCCTCTAAAGCTCTTGCTGCTTGTCCCAGTGGTATCTAATTCTTACCGCGTCAGAGGTACTAAACCGAACAGGCACTGAAATGTAGATGCAGAATCTGCTGGCTTTAGACTCCTCTGCTGGCTGTCGGGCAGGAGGTGGAAAGGAGGGAGCATCTAACAACTCTTGATTATGGGAGCGTGTGAGAGGCCTAAAATAGTCAGAAGAGGTGTGTGTGGAACATATACATATTTGATACTGCAAGATCCACTGTGCTGATGTTGAAGGATCCCAGAAATACGGAATTTGCAATTTAGAGAAACTCTGAGATGAAATTTGAGTTGAATTTGCCCTGTGAGGCGTGCTTCATAATCTGGAAAAGGGATATTGACTTGCCATGTTTCACTGAATGTGTGCTCTTCAGTGCTTCTTCAATATTTAGGGCTGATTCTGAACTAGGGTTTTCTTTTCTCCTTCTGTATGCTGAAATAGTTGGGCTTAGTTTCTCTTCTTGCAATTGCTATATTTTTGCAATTCCAAAACAATCTCTGAAGAGTACTAGAAGTATTGGATGGTATCATATTCTGTACTACTAAAAATGTATCATTTTATTTGCGTAGGCGCAGATCACACAGGTTTTTTTTTTCTTTCTTTCTTTTTTTTTCCCCTCTCATGTGGATCCAATACTATCTTGGAAAGGGATGTGAGCCTTGATTTGCAAGTAAATTAGCCTTCTGAGTGTTTTATTAATTTGAGTGGCTGCCCTCAAGTCACAGTTCAGGCTCAAATCTAATTCTTGTGTTGTTGCAAGGAAATGAGAGCTACAGTTTAATGAGTTACTGTGAACAATTAGATTTTGTTGCTATTTAAATGGTGAAAATCTTAGCAGTCCAAAGCTTCCTCATATGGCCCCATTAGTTCCTTCACGTGATTTGCTCTTTCGAATGCGCACAGGCTCTTTTATGTAAGCGTGGTAGAGGTCATAAGTGTGCTTGTCCCCCAAGGTGGTTGTTCCTTATCTGAGAGCCTCCTTAATCTTCTTGATTTGAAAGAAATGGACAGAGATTTTGACTTGAAAGTGATTGGGCTATTAGAGTCAAAACTGGACCAGTAGAAACAGAGCATACTGCAGTATTGAAGATTAGACTGTACTCAAGCCATTAAGAAAACAAATCTGGAAATCTTTTTTCTTGTACACGCTATTCATTTTCTCAGCCTTTGTTGTTTGAAATGTTATTTTCTATTTCCATTGTAAAAAATATTAAATATTTAAAAGAAACAGTTGGGGGCTAAATAAATAAATAAAAAACCCCAAGATTTTAGAAAATATAAAAAGAAACAAAACCAATTATTAAAATATTAGACAAAGGAAAAAAGCATGGACATTTCAATTTGCTTCAAATTAGTTGAACTTAGGCTGAAGGAAGATTTGTGGGTCAATTATTAACTTATGTAAAATATAATCTAGACTACACTCTTTGTTTCATCAGAAGTCAATCACAAGTGAATCTCTTATTACCTTGAGTAATTTTTCTGAATTGAGTGTGTTCAAGATGTTAATGTATTTAATTTTACATGAATTTGTCATGCCCCTCATTTGCCTGGCTATCCCATGTGCACTTGCAGGCCTGTCTGCGGGCTTGCTAATTTATGCAGCAGCGCTAACAAGCTTGGGTGTATAAAGCCCTGCGCACATCTCATTGTATCCTCCTGAGTTTCCTGTATGTATGGAGCAAGTCTTATCCTCAGGTTGGCATTTAAAAGGCAGTGGAGACTGACACAGTGAGAAAACTTTTACCTACTGGATATTAATTTCAGGAGTCTGACAAGCCATATGTGGCACCCAGACTATAATGTTACAGGTAGATGCGGTGAGATTCCCCAAACAATTTTTTTGGCCGACATATTGCTTATTTTTATTAGAGATCTCTTGTCTGTCAAACAGCCTATAATAGCTGTGTCTGCTGTGGACAGCAGATGAGAACACAGAAATAGCATGTTTTAGCAGTATTTTCCCAGCAGGGGACTGTGTTAGTTTCTGCTTTGTCAGAAATGGCTCACAGTTTCCCTGGATTTGAGGCAATTCTGTGCAGTTAATATTCACACTTTTGTATGCTTTTGTAGCTGGCTGGAGTTAGCTTTTTATAAATTTGGAGCTGCTTTTCATGATCCAGGAAATATAGTCTAATGACAGTTTGTCCTGTAAGAGTAATACGGGACTGTGGCACTGACTATGGCTTGCAATGTGATAGTAGTGTGAAAATGTTGACACAGTATTTGGCTTAGCACGTGTATGGTCTTTTTTAATGTTTATTTTTCACATCCCCCATGGCATCTGTGACTTGTTGTAGCATCTGTGTGTTAAACATCACAAGGGTTCCTTCAACAGAATACAATGTGGAGGTGGCACAGGATCTGGTTTATTGTGAGGTGAAAATAAGCAAGGAATTTGGCTGTGACCACTAGCTCATTTAATCTCAGGCCTTACTAAGGCAGGCAGAATTGCAGAGAATTGAGAAACAACCACTGCTATGGGACTGGTCTTTCAGTTTCCTTGATAAACCTGCAAGAACTCTTCTTGCTGAGATTCTCCAGTTGAAAAACCATAGTGACAGTGCAATGCATGCTCCATCCACAACATCTTCTAATTATTATTGACTTCGGCAAGAGACAGATTTCTGCTGGTGCCTGAAGTCATGGAACTGTTTTACCTATGCTGGGAAGGAGAGCAGGAAAAAGGAGAGAGCACTTGTGCCCTTTCCTAGTAGTGGAGAGGGAGCTTGATGACTTCCTGGACTTGAAGCTAAGCAATTGAAAACACGGATTCAGGAGAGTGATATAACCCTACTGGAGCACCAGATCTTCAGAAGGATTTCTTTGTCAGCATTCAGACCTGGTTCCATGCATATGCTGGCTGTCTCACCTGAGTGTCTTTCCTTCACAGTCATTACCAGTAAAAAGGCATGTCCTAATAGGCTTTCCAGAGCATCAAGATGTTTCAAAACTCTGAAAAGGGAGCGGCAGTGTAAGATACTTTCTCCATTCCTTACCTAAGTCTTAGGAAAATTTCTGTCAAAGGATCTTTCTTTTTCTCTACAGTCACGTTCTTGTCCTGTGGTATCCTTTAGGTTGACTAAGAAATGCCTCGGTAATGCCTCAGTCCAGTACAATCCTAGAAGCTCTTTGAGATGACTGTAGCTTTAGTATTTAAAAAAGCTTTCCTCCTCCGTGGTCAATTGTAA